GCTGCTTGGCCTGCTGTGTTCATCCAGCTCTACATCTTGTTATCTCAAATTGAATCCCAGTATTTATTGCAAAAGGCTGGATTATAAAAGTAGTGTTGTTACAAATATATAAGGTGTTGGTGAGACTACACCTGGAATATTTTGTCCAGTTTTGGTCTCCTTACTCAAGGAAGGATGTGGTGGCACCAGTTGAGGTTGACCAGGTTGATTCCAGGGCTGAAAGGGCTGTCAGGGCTGTCATATGAGGAGCAGTTGAAAGGCTTGGATTTATACTTGCTGGAGTTCAGAAAAATGAGGGGAGACCTGATTGAGGCTTTTAAAATGTTAAAGGGGATTGATAAGGTGGATGTTGAACAGATGTTCCTCTTTGTGGGAAGCTTTCAACAAGAGGTCATAGATATTGAGTGAGAGGAGGTAGGTTCAAAATAGAGGTGAGGAGAAACTACTTCTCTCAGAGGGTTGCGAATCTGTGGAACTCACTGCCCTAGAGTGCAGCGTAGATGGAATCAATCAACAGATTCAAGAAAGAAATAGGTATGTTTCTGATGAAAAAGGCGATGAAAAGGGGACAAAGGGCGATGGGGAGCAGGAAGGAGAGTGGAGTTGAGACCAGGATAAGATCAGTCACAATCATGTTAAATAGTGGAGCAGGCTTATCTTTGCTATTCACGTTATCTATGCATCTCATGATTTTATAAACTTTCATAAGGTCACTCCTCAACCTCCTACACTCCAGTGAAAAACATCTCAACCTATCCATCCCCTGCTTATATCTCAAACCCTCCAGTCGAGGTAACATCCTCACAAACCTCTCTGAATTCTCCAATTTAATAATATCCTTCCTATAAAAGGGCAACCAGAACTGTATACAGTATTCCAAAAGTGGTCACAACAACATCTTGTACAACCACAACATGACATCCCAACTCCTATACTCAATGGTCTGAGCAATGAAGGCAAGCATGTGAAACGCGTTCTTAACCACCTTGTCTACCTGTGAAACTTTCAAAGAATTAGGCCCCTGAACCCGTTGGTCTCTCTGTTTGAGAACGTTAGCCAGGGCTCGACCATTAACTGTATACATTTTGTCCATGTTCGTCTTACCAAAATGTAATACCTCACATTAATCCAAATTCAACTCCATCCGCCACTCCTTAGACCACTGGCCCAATAGATCAGGATCCCTTACAGGTCCGATTTACACAAAGACATATCAATGTCAGGAAAAGGCCTCATTCAAGGACAGAGACAAACAGACAGACAGAGAGAGAGATAAAAGATTTCTCAACCAAAATGAGAACTACAGTTTCAATCTAATGTAAATAGTCCATTTCACTAGTTTAGTTTCAATTTAATTTCAGGTTTTCAAAGACTCGATGACAGTAAAATAAAGAAACACTGCTTCATGATCTTTGGGCTATCTGGTTGCTTCAATCCCTCAACAGAATAAGTTTCTAAGCACAGGAGATGATGGGTGAAGCGAATTGGTGCAATTAGATAGAGATGGGAGAATACTGGATGAACTGAAGATTATGGAGGATGCACAGTGGAAAACCGAGAAGACAACATTGGAACAGTCGTTTTTGGAAGAGACAGAGGCATGCAGCATGCTATCAGTAACGGTCAGGTTAAGAAAGGGCTAGAGACGGGCGAAATTACACAGGTGGAAGTCGGTGCTTTTGTAATGGGGAGGAAAAGCGATTGGAAGCTGAGCTCAGGGTCAAGCAGAATCCTGAGATTAGGAATGGTCAGGTTTAAGTTCAGACAGTTGAGGGCACTGAGCTCGATTTGTGTTACCTTCCACACGCACTCTGAATACAAGGCTGTCATTCTGGACATCACAGAGGTATTCTCCCGAGTCTGTCGTCCGAGCGTCCAGTACACGCAGTGACCGCAACGTTCCCTCCCTCCTAATGGAGATCCTCTCGTTTTCCAACACCTTTTCCCCGTCCTTGTACCATTTGGCAACACCATCTGGCCGAGACAGCTCACACTGGAGCATAACATCCTCGGAAGTCAAGTACTTGCGATCTGCCGGACCCCCAGTCTGTCTGATTATCTCAATCGGCGGCACTGCAGATAGAACCAGAGAGGCGTTGGTTTAATGGTGCATCAATAACAAGAATATGAATTTATTTACCACCTCTACCTTGTGCAGCTGGCTCAAGATGTACAATTAAACACAAGTTAACACCAAGACACATGAACATATCAGACAGGTATCAACACTTTTACATACAATTACACAGAGATTTACAACACAGAAATAGGCCATGCAACCCATCATGACTCTGTTGGCGCTAGTTCACGAGGACATCCTCCCAAACCTTTACATCTCACCCTTTCTGCACCACACATAGGTTCTCCATAAGTGTAACTGCACTCATCATTTCATTGATTCTGTGAGGGAGTGAGTTCCACATTCTCCTGACTTTCTAGTTCAGAAGTTTCAATGCATTCATAGCTGCCTTTATTAATGACCAATTAGATAACCAGGGGCAGTAATGGCATGGTGGTGTTATCAGCAAACTATTACTCCAGGTAATGTCTTGGGGCCCTGGGATTGAATACCACCAGATGTTGAAATTGAATCCAGCAAAACACTGGAATTGAACGTCTATTGATGACCATGATACCATTGTTGATTGTCAGGTAAAACCCAGCTGGTTCAATATTGTTTTTTACCTGGTCTGGCCTACATGTGACTCCAAACCCACAGTAACAGGGCTGAAAAAGTTATTTTCTCACAGAAGGTTATGGGTCTGTGTGATTCTGTTCCTGAAGTAGCAAGGGAAGCAGAGTCTTTAAATGTTTATCAGGTGGAGTAAATAAATTCTTGATAACCAAAGGGGTGAAATGCTATAACAGTTATTTTGGGAATCAGATCAGCCATGATCTCATTGTGTGGAAACCTAGAAAGTTCGAAGAAAGGAGCAGGAGGAGGCCATTTGGCCCTTCGAGCCTCTTCCACCATTCTTCACGGTCATGGCTGATCATCCGACTCAATAGCCTAATCCTGCTTTCTCATAACCACTGATCCCATTCGCCTCAAGTGCTATATCCAGCCACCTCTTGAATACATTCAATGACTTGGCATCAACTACTTCCTGTGGTGATGCATTCCACAGGCTCACCTCTCTTTGGGTGAAGAAATGTCTCCTCATCTCCGTCCTAAATCATCTATCCTGAATCCTCATACTGTGACCCCTGCTTCTGGACACACCCATCATTGGGAACACTCTCCCTGCATCTACCCTGTCCAGTCCTGTTAGAATTTTATAATTCTCTGTCAGATCCCCCCTGATTTGTCTGAATTCTAGCGAAACATTGCGAACCTAGTCAATCTCTCCTCAAGCATCAGATCCGCCATCCCCGGAATCGGCCTGGTAAACCTTCACTGCACTCCCTCGAGAGCAAGAGCATCCTTCGTCAGAAAAGGAGGCCAAAACCGCATGCAATATTCAGGAGCAGACCTGAGGGGCTGAGTGGCCTAGTCTTAATTTACATCCTTTTAAAGACTGGAGCCTTCAACAGTAGATGGCACTGGTAAGGATGGGCAGCAAGGGGCCACATTCAGGGACAGAGAGGATCAGACAGACAGAGAGACAAAGAATTCCTCAACCACGATGAGCAACTATAAGTCTGAATCCAATGTTAATATTCCATTATCCTGGTTTTAATCTTAATTTAACTTCATCTTTGTAAAGTCCTGATGCCAGGAGAATAAAGAAACACTTCTTCACGATCATTGGGCTGTCTAGGTGCTCAATCTCTTGATACAGTAAGTCGATGAGCACAGGAGCTGATTGGTGAATAGGCTTAGTGCAGTTTGGATACAGAGCAGAGAATATTGGATGAGCTGGAGAATATGGAGGACAGAAGATGAGAAACTAAGAGATGTCACAGGCACATAGCGCAGTGTCAGTAACTGTCAGGTTAAAGAAGTACTGGAGGCAGTACACAGATGGAGGTGGGTGTCCTTCTGATGGACAGCAGAAGGGATTGGAAGCTGAGTTCAGCATCAAGCAGCACCCTGACTTTGGGAATGGTCAGGGTCAAGCTCAGACAGTTGAGGGCACTGAGACCAAGCTTTGTTACCTTCCACGCACACTCTGAATACAATGCTGTCACTCTGGATATCACAGAGGTACTCTCCTGAGTCTGTTATCTGAGCGTCCAGTACTCGCAGTGACCGGAATGTTCCTTCACTCCCAATGGAGATCCTCTCGTTGTCCACCACCTTCTCCCCATCCTTGTACCATTTGGCAACACCATCCAGCCGAGTCAGCTCACACTGGAGTGTAACATCCTCGGAGGTCAAGTACTTGTGCTCTGTCGGACCCTCAATCTGTCTAATTATCTTGACCGGTGGCTCTGCAGATAGAAGCAGGGAAGTGTCAGTTTAATGGTGACTCTATAACAAGAACACGCATTTATTTAGCACCTCTACCTTTGTAGAGCTGTCTCAAGATGTGCAATCAAACTCAAGTTAACACGAGACACGCGAACATATTAGAACAGATGATCAATACCTTCACATACAGTTACAGAGAGGTTTACAACACAGAAATAGGCTGTTGAGACACTGTTGGTTCCAGAACACCTTTCCATACCTTTACATCTCACCCTTTTCTGCATAACTATCTTTGCTCACCCATAAGTTCCCCATAAATGTATTTGTACTTGTTATTTCATTCACACCATGTCGAAGCGAATACCACATTCTTCCACTTTCTGCATTAAGAAGCTTCTCTATATTCATGGCTGTTTTTATTAATGACCAATAAGATAACCAGGGGAGGTGATGGCATGGTTGTATTTTCATTAGACTATAACATAGATGATTTGGAGTTGGGGACCACATGTAACGTGTCAAAGTTTGCAGATGACACTAAGATGAGTGGTAGAGCAAAGTGTGCACAGGACTCTGAAAGTTTGCAGAGGGATATTGATTATGTGAGTGGGTGAAGGTCTAGAAGTGAATTCAATGTTGATGAATCTGAACTCATCTATTTTGATAGGATAAATAATAAAACGGACTATTGTATGACTAGTTAAAAAAACTGCAGCATGCTGCTATGCAGAGGGATCTGGGTGTCCTTGTGCATGAATTGGAGAAGGTTGGTTTGCAGGTACAACAGTAATTAAGAAGGAAAATGGAATTTTATCCTTCATTGCTAGAGGGATTGAGTTTAAAAGCAGGAGGTTATGTTGCAGCAGTATAGAGTGCTGGTGAGGCCATACCTGGACTATTGCGCGCAGTTTTGGTCTCCTTACTTGAGAAAGGAAGTACTTGCACTGGAGGGGGTGTAGAGAAGATTCAGTACATTGTTTCCAGAAATGAGACGGTTGGTTTATGAGGACAGGCTGAATACACTGGGATTATATTCATTGGAATTTAGAAGAATGAGGGGGGATCTTATAGAAACATACTAAGTTATAAAAGGAATAGATAAGTTAGAAACAGGGAGACTGTTTCCACTGGCGGGTGAAACTAGGACAAGAAGACATAGCCTCAGAATGAGGGGGACCATATTTAGGAATGAATTGGGGAGGATTTTCTTCACCCAAAGGGTTGTGAACCAGTGGAATTCCCTCCCCAGTGAAGTAGTTGAGGCTTCCTCGTTGAATGTTTTTAAAGCTAAGAAAGATAGTTTTTTGAATGGTAAAGGAATTGAGGGTTATGGTGAGAGGGTGGGTAAGTAGAACTGAGGCCATGAAAAGATCAGCCATGAACTTTTTAATCCAGAGACACAGGTAATTTCCTGGGGAACACGGGTTTGAAACCCGACAGTGCAAAAGTAGAAGTCGAATTCAATAAAATTCTGGGCATAAAAGTCTAATGATGACTATGAAAGCGATATCATTTGTTGGTGGGGAAAAAAGCCCACATGGTTCACTAATCTCCTTTAGGGAAGGAAATCAGCCATCCATACCCAGTCTGGGCCTACACGTGACTTCAGACTGGAATTGACTCTTAACCACCCTCCGGGCAACTAGGCCTGGTAATAAATGTTGGCCTAGCCAGTGATACCCTCTTCCATGAATGAATAAAAAAAAAATCTGGTCAAAGAGTTGGGCATTATTAAAGGAGGATCAAAAGGGAATTCCAGAGGTTATGCCCCAGTCAACAGAAGGGTTAGATGGTAAAAGTCAGGGATCAGCAAGCAACCAAATTCTGGAAGCCACAGAAAAGTTGGAGGGATGCCAGTCTGGAGGAGATGACAGAGATAAATTGAGGATGACCTTTGAGAGATTTGAAAACAACAATCAGAACTGTAAATGATTATGTTCCTGGTCTGAAGGCTAACAGTTAGGAAGCTAGGAAAACATGGCAGGGTAGCTCTGTTAATTAACGCACAACAGAAAGGGATGAAATTAAGTCTGAAAACCAGGATATAGAAATGGTTTGGATAGAGATGAGAAATGCCAAAGGCACGCAATCACTTGTGGGAGTCGTGCCCAGGCCCCTACTACTGAACACCCAGTTGCATGGTGTATAAAGAAAGAACACTGGCAGCTTTTCAGCAAGGTAGAGCATCGATCATAAAGAATTTTAATCTACATACATACGAGAAAATACACACGGATAAAAGTACATGGGAAGTTCATAGAATGTCTCCAGGGTAGTTTTATCAAACAGCAGACTTGACTGCTAAATAGAGGGCAGATTACACTTGATCTGGTATTGGGCAAAAATTGCAGCCCATAGTAAAAGTACCCCAGATAGCAGTTGTTAGCATTTGATTGAATTTTACATTTTGTTTGAAGCAGAGAAGAGTCGATCCAAGACTAGCCTTTTAAATTTAAATAAGGGCAGTTATTAACACATGAAAGCAAACTTAGCTAAAATGAACGAGAAAATTAGAAAAAAGCATAAACTGATAGAGATGCAGCAGCAATCATTTATGGGGATATTTCAAAATACACAGAACTGATAAATTCTATTGAGAAAGCAAATTTCCAAGGGGAGGAACCACGAGCTTTGTGAACCAAAAATGTTAAAGATATTATCAAACTTAATGAAAAGCATATAATTGAGCAAACACGAAGGTCAATCACAAGATTACTACAACAGTAAAGAATGACTAAAAGATTAATAGGGAAGAAAAATTTCTACGATGAGATAAAGATAGAAAGTTTTTGTTTTATTCTTTCATGGGATGTGGGTATCACTATTTGGGCTAGCATTATTTGCTAATCCCTAATTAACCAGAGGGCAGTTACGAATCAACCACATTGCTGTGGGACTGAGATCAGATGTAGGCCAGACTGGATAACAATGGCAGGTTTCCTGACTGGACTAGTAATCCAGAAACCCAGGTTATTGCTCTCAGGACACGGGTTCAAATCCCACCACATATGGTGAATTTAAATTCAATAAGAAATCTGGAATAAAAAGCTAGACCAATAGTGACCGGTTAACTGTTTTTAAAAATCTCTCAATGGGATATAGGTGTTGCTGGTTTGCCAGCATTTATTGCCAAACACGAGTTGCCTGGAGGAGGTAGTGGTGTGCTGCTATCTTGAACTGTTGCAATCCATGTGCTGCAGGTTGACCGACCATGCCCTTAGGGACAGAATTCTAGCATTTTGACCAGACAACATCGAAGAAGAGCGTCAATCGTCATAAATCCCCATTAGGTTCACTAATGCCCTTTACAGAAGGAAATCTGCATACTTGAGGTTCGGGAGTCTTTGGAGCTCCTTGCCACAGAGAGCTATGAGGGCAGAGTCCTTGCATATATTTTAGACCGAGAGAGATAGATTCTCGATCAGTCAGGAAATCAAGGGTTATCAGATACAGCAGGAAAGTGGATGTCAGGAATGTCAGATCAGCCATCATCCTATTTAAGCTATACAAAAGCCTAGTTCGGCCACATCTGGAGTATTGTGTCCAGTTCTGGTCACCTCATTACAGGAAAGATGTGGAAGCATTGGAAAAGGTGCAGAGGAGATTTACCAGGATGTTGCCTGGAATGGAGGGAAGGTCTTACAAGGAAAGGTTGAGAGATCTAGGGCTTTTCTCTTTAGAATGATGAAGGGTGAGAGGTGACTTGATAGAGGTGTACAAAATGATCAGAGGTATAGATAGATAGCCAGAGTCTTTTTCCTAGGGTGGAGGTAGCTATTATGAGGGGGCATAGTTTTAAAGTGAGTGGAGGTAGATATAGGGAAGACGTCAGAGGTAGGTTCTTTACTCAGAGAGTGGTAGGGGCGTAGAATGCATTGCCGGAGAGGGTAGTGGAGTCGGCCTCATTAGGGCCATTTAAGCGGCTATTAAATAGGCATATGGATGATAGTATAAGGTAGGGGTGGAGGTTAGATAGACCTTAGGTTTAGGGTAAAAGTTCGGCACAACATCGTGGGCCAAAGGGCCTGTACTGTGCTGTACTGTTTTATGTTCTATGTTCTAATGTTGGAAGAGGCTCAAGGGTCAAAATGACCTACTCCTTACGGTTTTACATTCTAAGGAAATGTGCAATGCTTGAAGGTCATGACTCTATGGAATGCTTTTCCTGAAAAGGTGGTAGAAACAGAGTTCTTGAATATTTTTAAGGCAGACGTAGATTCTAAATAAGCAAGGGGGTGAAAGATTATTGGGGTAGGTGGGAAGCAGATTTGAGGTTGCAATTAAAATAACCATGATCTGATTAAATGGCGGAGCTGGCTTGAAAAGCATAGGGGCCAAACCGTAGCCCTTGTTTGTATATTCACGTCTCTGCGAGTTTAGAAGACCAAGAGATGACTTGATTGTAACATATAGGATCTTGAGGGGTATTGGAAGGGATGTGAAAAGGATGTTTCCCCTTGTCAGAGAACCTGAAACTTGGGGTCACTGTTCAACTATATGTAATTGCCAATTTAAAATAAAGATGAGGAAAAGCTTTTTTTCTTCCAGAGGGTCATGAGTCTGTAGAAATCTCTTCTTAAAATGGCACTGAAAGTACAGTCTTCGAATGTTATTCAGGTGGAGTCAATAAATTCTTGATAACAAAAAGGATGTGATGTCATAAAGGGGTTGGTGAGAATGGGGATTAATCAGATCAGCCACGATCTCATTGCATGGAAGAGCAGACCTGAGGGGCCAACGGCCACTTCTACCACTAAATTACATGCTTATAAGGTATGAGGGCCTGTAACAGCAGGTGGCAATGGTTTTGTGGGGAGGGGGGGTGGCAATAAATAGTGCTGACAGTCAGGATTTGCCCAAAGTCATATCAATATCAGGCAGAGGCTCCATTCAGCCTGATTTGGTGAGAGCTGGGGGTTTGTTGCGGAGCAGAAGAGACAGATGAACCAAAAGACAAAAGCTTCTGCAACCAAAATGTGAACTACTCTCTCAGTCCAATGTAAATACTCTGTTTTCCTAGTTGTAGTCTTAATTTGACTTCATGTTTGCAAAGGCTTGATGTTAGTAGAATAAAGAAACCCTGCTTCAGGATCTTTGAGTTATCTGTGTGCTCCAAGCCCTTCATAAAATAAATTTCTAAGCAGAGGAGTGATGAGGGAAGAGACTTGGTGCATTATGGGTACAGAACAGAGAATATTGGATTATCTGAATTTATGGACGATGGATGTTGGGAAACCATGAGGAAAACATTGGAACAGTTGAGTTTGGAGGGGGCAGAGGCCCGCAGCATGGTATCAGTAACAGGTTAAGGAAGGACATGAAGCAAGCAATGTTGCACAACCCGAGGTCAGTGTCTTGGTGATGGAGAGGAGAAGGAATTGGAAGCTGAGCTCAGGGTCAACCAGCAT